TTTAGTATAATAGAAAATTGAATGACTTTAATTTTTATTTACAAGTCGTCTCAAACCGACCAAACCCGACTGATACTTGATTGGGTTGGATTGGGTTTCAACCTTTACACGGGTTGGGTTGGGTTAGGTTAAATTTTGATCAAACCGATCATGTTGGATTGTGTTTGGGTTGAGCCAAAAATCGACCCAACCAACCCATGCCCACCCCTGCCTAGTAACCTATTACAATAGTTGAGAAATCTATGATGTTTAGAGTTTGGAACTTTTTATCAGGACTACATAAGCTAGGGATGAGACTTGCGACACCCTGATCCCCAACAAATGAGCAATCATTGATAGTAACCGACTGAAGTTTAGTGCAATATTTTCCAATGGCTTGCAGACTGTCATTCCTGACATTTGAACAAGATTCAATTGGCAAGGAAGTTAAATCACGATAGTTTCCTACAATTGCGAGTACACCTTTTTTTGAAATTGAAAAACATTAGCAAAGATCTAGCTTCTCTAATGATTGGCACTTCCTTCCAATTTCAAATAGACCTTCATCACTAATAGATGGAACATTCCACGATGAAAGAACCCTAAACGACGGGCAACCACGAGCAATTACAGACAACATGATATTCGAAACACTCTGAAGAGAGTTGCTTCCTCGAATATAAAGCTTCCCATTTTTTTGTTTCTATTTTTTTAATAAATTATTTGGAACTCATTTGTACTTTTTTAAAAAATTGAGAGTCTGACTGCAATTTATTCTTTATTTTTCTTTTCTTTTCTTTTCATTTCATTTCATTTTATTTAAATAGGAGGTTATATTTGTCATTTTACAATTTCTTATTGAAAAATTGAATGAAAATGACGATTTTCGCAATAAAATGTGGAAATAAGGATGAAAATACGAAAAAATGAAATGAAACGTAAAGACATTTTGCACAATGAACTCCAAACGTAAGGACGTGTTGTGCTAATAATCATTTTTAAAGCATCACTTACCTTGAAAAACTAGTTAAAAATATCTACATTTTTCATCCGAACTTATGACGATCGATCGGATATTCATCCGAACTCCCAGAAAATTTTACCAATTTTTATCTATAAATAGGTTCTTTTTTACAATCAATTAAAAGTCTTTCAAGTACATTAAAGAGAAGAATATTTTGAGAAAATCTTTAATCTTGCATTGCATCTATTTCTTCTATTTATTAATATTGAAAAACTTTGATTGATTAATCACAATTTTAAATAATCATATTTATCAAAATTTATGATCTTTCCCATGGTACTTAACTTATTACTATCATTTATAAAAGAGAGATATTTTGAGCAAATCTTCGGATTTATATTACATCTATTTCTTTATATAAAAAACTTTGATTGGTTTAATTAAGTCCCTGTAGGCCTATTTGATGTCCTTTGTTTGAAAACTCTTTTTCTATATGTTCATTTTAAACTATATATTCACGTAATAAAATATTTTGCACACAAATTGAAAATTTTTTCCTACTTTTTAACTATACATTCTCTTGAAAATTTCTATTTAAAATATTATTTTTCCCAAAAAATGGCCAAAGCTAAAATTTTAAATTATCACACATCAATATTTTATTATCAAACACTTGAGATGGGGACCCGGCCCATCTTGTTTAATCGAGTATGGGGGTGGGGTAAATGATACCCGACAGAATGGGGGACAAAAATGATTGTCCTGATTTCGATTCATCCAGCTGTCATCATTGCTTATAAGTCATGACTAATGTCTTCCGAGGTGTAGTTCAGTTGTGCAAATAATATGAGTGAGGTAGTTTCAGGTGAGCTGACAGTCACAGTGCGAGAGTTCGATTCCTATCTCTTACAAGGTATGAAATTAGATTTTTTGTGGGTATTAATATGACATCTTGTACCCTGATCTGTTGAGGCACATTTCCCGATTTACCTCATCCATAAAGCTCTAAGGACGGGACGGTATGGGCCCTCAAGGTTGGGTTCAACCTTTTTTTTATAAGTCATGACTAATAATTTAGATTTATATTCGCAAATAAGAGCCCTTATTTACCTCTTACTTGAAAGAATGCTAGGGGTAAGTAAATGAGTGTCCTCTGCAATAAAAAAAGGGGTTAAATTTTTTCCTTCGGCCGAATTGCTAAAACCCTCCCAGAGCTCCTCGTTCGTCCATTGCCAGCCATCCACCCCCACAATACACCGAACTCACCCTCCGATATGTCCACCACGAATGCTACCGCCTCCGCCGTAAATCCGAACTATGAAGATTTTGTAAAAGTACACGGCGT